TCCAGGTTCGTCATCTCCTTCTTTGTCCTGACCATCAAGGGTGTCTATCGGCGTGAAGCCCAACCTGCTGTCCAGGTACCCTGAAAGCCCTGGGGTGGCAGGTACGGTACCACCTCTCGATCCACCCTTCCCATGAATGGGAGTGAACGCCTCTCGAGGCGACATGAGGCTCTCGTCAGATTCTACACAGAAAACATCTCTGTTGCGATGCATCAGTACACCAAGTCGCGAGTTTGCTCCAGCCAACGTAGATCCGGTCCTTTCAAGGCCTCTTCCGTTTCTTCTTTCTTGAAATTTGGCAAGCAGATAGTTCCAAACGAGTCAGCTTGAAGTGAATGCGAAGGTCGAATGTGGGCTCTGGGTACGCGTAGGACGGTGTCTGGGATGGTGGTTAAGTATGAATGCGGGGTCGTCATTTATTTCATTGCCGAGCTGCACTGAATAGGCGTACTGTATCACAATCACGCGGCAGCCGCACTCTATCAGCCGGCGCCTACTACAACTTTCCAGCAGTGTTAGTGTCGAACCTCGACGCCGTGGCTCCGACTGGCATCCACCTCGGCGTCGACATGGACGCCGCTGAAGAATGCTGAGCATGTTGCGCTTGTCATTCAGGGTCTGCCACCTGAAGGAATTCACTGCACCTTTCACGCAGAGCTTCCAGGATTGCGTCCATCTCTGTTCGCTTGCCACCAATGAGCCAAGCTTGCAAAGCGACATCGAATCTGAAGGTGGCGGTATTCGCCATTTCCTCTTATTCAGGGATGCTTTGCTCGGCCAGGGATGCGAGGCGTACGTAAAGATAAATAAAGTTTGAATGCGTGAAAGCACAGCGACCAGCTCTCATGATGACTGCCTGATGACTGCCTGATGACTGCCAACAGTCGGAGGTCTCCTGGCCACGTCGCTAAGTCCCACCAGACTCGATGCTCGAGGACACGTTGTAAGAATCGCTTCTGCTCAGGTACAGTATGTAAACAGATAACATAAGATACAGTGCTGGTACATGACTACTGTAACTACTAAGGAGCCAAAAAGTCGGGACCTCTTCATCGTGTAACTTGAGGTGTTCAAGATAATAAATAATTCGTCACCAGGTTGAGGTCGCTCCGCCATCTCAGAACAGTACCGCGAAGACAGCACTCAACAAGGCCAACGACAGCGGCACCTGCCCGCGCATCGGCACCGCCGAGCCCTCTTCTTCCTCTTCCTCGGTGCTGTTACCATTGCGGCCACCTCCGCCACGACGAGGTCCGCCACTTGGTCGACTGCCCCTGCGACCTGCAGTACCATTTCCTTGCCCTGTAGGGCCTTCGAATGTAGCAGGATTGAACATATCGCCCTCCATCTCACAAATTGCACCTTCTTCAGGAAGGGTGCCATCGCGGAAATACGTGCGCATATGGTCAAAGATACAGTCAGAGTCCCACGCGACAGTAGTGTGCTATTGGACGATGATACGAGTTAGTGGCGCGGTACATAGCACTAGTGGGAATGAACGTGAACGTACTCCAGGAATATCATATTGGAGTAGTCGGGAGCCGGCGAATCGCTCCGATACTTTTTTAGCTCTAAACGAACTGGGGTGAGACACGAACTCGCTCGCAGAGAAAGGTAAGCAAAAGGAAACATACGCTGCGAGGGGGGTGACCGGGTCGTAGGTGTTTCCAATAATTAGTAGAGGGTGGCTGGTGTTGTCACTGCCGATAGGTCCTGCATGCAGACGGTGAATAATGAGCTCACAGACTACATGATGAGAAGTAACGAAAGGAAGTACATACCTCGGAAGTGCCTGGGGTGAACTTTCCATCCTCTGAAGAACAAAATCAGCTCAGTTCAGAGTAAGAATACCACGGAAACTGACGAAGAGAAAAGCCTGTCTCCCTCCACAGCGGCAGGGAAGTACTTGGTCACCTCCCTCATCTTCGTAGCATACTCCTGCAGATCCTCTTGCGTGTCCCTCAGCGCCGCTGCGTCCACGCCTCTGATCGCCAGCGCCAAGGGCCCAGCGGCTGTCTGAGGAGCACCGTCTCCCAATAGCGACGCGAGCTTCTCCGAGTCTCCCGCCTCTACGGCGACCAGTCCTTCGGCGAGCATGACGTAGTTTCGTGGATAGTACAGGAGGCCATGAATGATGCCTTGCAGTTGCTCGACGCCGAGGGGGGCGTCGTCAGGAAGGACAAGTGGTTCTTCGACAAGGGACGTGAGGAGGGCGTCGTAGCGCTTCTTGACGGCCTCGGCAGAGTCAGCACCAAAGGCACAAGCGTCGCCGGTTTCGGCGCATACGGAGAAGAACTGTTCAAGGGTTGCGTCGGCGTCGACCATGTTGAGGGTCCAGTCGCCTAAGAAGTATCAGTACCAAAGTTTAAAGACAAGGAAGAACATGACTGACTGGAGTAATACCCATCAACGTCGAGCACGCCTTTTCCATTTTGAGGTCAGATATTCGCATGCTACACAGCTGGGAGACTTGGCGTACCGTCAAGAACCATACGATCGATCTTGTCCTGAGGAAGACATGAGTAAGATGCAACGCCGTTGCGGGTCATGCAAACGTACTGGGAACAAAGAGGCGAACGTAGCACCAAGAACGGTCCCGTACCTGGGGCGAATATCTGATTAGCCTTGTTCCGGAATTGTGGGTGTCGAGCGACTCACGAGATGCCATAGTACTGGATCTTTTCTCTACCATGAGCTTCGACAATCCTGAGCATGTCTCTTGCAACATTATCGGTGGTCGCAAACTTGAGGGCGTCAGCAAAGATGTCCTTAATCTGGTCACCGATCTCGTTCATTTCCTCCAGACGGTCAGGCAAAGTGTCCCAGTTCTCCGGGTCGAGACTGAGAAGAGTTGACGCGTTGGCGACAAACGCATCTGTCTCTTCAGGAGTGTCGAAGAGTTGTATAGCAGGCGTGGAGAAGTTCACGCCTGTAGGATACACTAGCGTGAGCTGAATGTAATTGCGATGTGAAGTAAAGCACGCTTACCTCGAGGATCGAAACTGACAAGATCAAACTCCTCTCCAAATAGGTCAATCCATCCCTCTCCACCAGCGACAAGCTCGGCGACACCGCTACCGCCTGGACCACCGGGATTGTAAAGAATGGGGCCACGATAGGCTTCGGTGTCTGCTACAGGGGACGGAACGCGGATAACAGCAATGGCGGCGTTGCCTTGATCTGGCGCCGAGTAGTTGAGGGGTACCTGCGTCGCCATAAGAGGTCAATGGATGGCAGTGGCACCAAGGGCAAAACTCGGACGTACACTAAGGCGAGTGCACTGGAGTGGTGACTGATAGCAGTCGACCCATCGTAGGTCAGTGGTCGGCTCTACCTGTAAATTTAGGGATGAGATGCATGCTCTGACGTCATGGAGAACAATGAGGGCTACGCACAGAATCCCAGTCGAACGGGGAAGGCGCGTCTTGAGCGAGAGAAGACGCCGCAAGCACCAGTGTCGCGGTTACCAAGGAAGGCAGGCGAAGGGTAGAAGGAACAGGCATGGGAGAGGTGGGGTAGTTGCTGAGAAACGAGTTGCCGTTCCTCACTCATATGCTTGCCTGTAGCGCCGATGACGCGCTCCACGTTTTAGCGGGGAGCCCATGTGCTGGCGAGAGCCCTGCAAGTTTTCGGCAAGTCTCCGAATCAGAATAGAATGTGAACGCTCCCGGCCAACACCCAGCTGAGCTTTTTTGAGTTCAGGTTCAATGGATAGTGATCGCTGTGCGGCTCCAGTTTGATCTGAACTGGATGCAAGCCGGCGTGAATCAAGGCAGGATGTGTGTGCCGTATCATGACCACAAGCAGCGATGGGAGGTTGGCTGTTCGGATGCATGGCCGGCCCACGTACAGTCGTGAGAGCAGCTATGACGTCTTTAAGCTCCGGACCTCTGGTAAAGCATCTACACGGTGGTTCAAACCTGTGGTAGCTTCGGAAAATCATGACGATTGATCTGAATGGGGAGGTCCGACGAAGTGGGAGAAGAGTCGGATCTGGAGTCCTTCGTCGACACCGATATTTGATTGGCCTATCACAATACAGTGGCTGACCCCGGTTTTGTGTAAGGCGGAATCAGTGTGGGAACGTCTACATTACGTGTAAGTATGACCGTCTGTGACGCTCTCCCGACGCTTAGATTCAGGGTTTTTCGACATAGCCCAATGTATAGTTGAAGACGATAAGGATAGACATTTGTATGAGTAGCAACGAGCGCCATTCAGTCTCTTGACTTCTTGAACCTTCTGCACCTCCAATCCTTGGAGAAGACCTAAGCACACGAACAGATATCAAAAATCGGCTCCGTCAGTCGACGCAGAGTTGGGTTGCCCAACTCTTCACGGGAGCTTTTTCGCAGCGCCCGTCTAGGGCAGAGGTTTCTACGCTTCGCACTGTTTTTCCCATTGATTCGTCACAACGATCGTCACTTGCTTAAACGTAATGTAGACGCTTGCCACACTAGTTCCACCTTAATAAAAGTTTAAAACGTGCGCGCCGACGTGCGCCCCTCTAGTGCCATACCTTTACACCTGCAGGGTATTCGGTGAGATTTGGGAGGTGCTGGCCTTACATGGCGCCATCAAGAAGTACCATCAGGCGCAGAGCGACGTATAGTACTAGTACAGTACGTGTGTCAAGCGCCACTTGAAGTGTTGCAACCTCTCCTAGGCCTCGAGGAATCGGAGCGTGGGGACTGACATGCCAAAATTGTACAAGCAAGCAAGTTGAATAGCCCAGGAATGAGCATATATGTGTTACAGAGCCATCACAAACAGCCCATCTACAGGTCGAGCGGTTGCATCTCAGCTCAAGCTACGACGTCTCTGCAGTGCAACACAGTCTATTAACAGCGAATGCGACGATTGGATCCGGAGCTTCAATTTCGGGAAGCCTCAGAAGTACCATGGGCGGAGTTCTGGTTGCAAACACTGGCTAGTGGCAGGTAGTAATAGGGTAGTCGGTCTCAGCCTTACGGCCTGCGCGAAGAAAAGAAGCAAAAAGTCGTCACCTGTGCGATTCGAACACACGCGCACAAAGTGCAACCGCTGGATGCTAGGTAGCAGGCGATCCCGTTAACCACTCCGGCAAAGTGACTTATCAACTCATTTGAACATTAAAATTACAACAAATTACATTGGAGCAAAGACTCGGTGGCAATCGCCAACTCTGACCACGGTCAGTTGAGTGTTAGTGACCGAGCGCCTAACTTCAATTATCGAGTCCAGTGGCACCAAGAATGCATGCGCCCTAGTAGGCTCAAAGCTCATCGGTCATGACCTCCCTCAGCCGGTCACTGGTGGTTAGACCTCTCGAACAGTCTACTAGGGCTACCTTATCTCTCGAGCAAAACCTTTACCGGACCGCCTTTATATCGGGCTAACACTACAAGCGAGCTTCCCACCGTCAATCTCATGACCAGCAAACTGAACAGGCACAAGCGTCTTCCACCAGTGCACCCACTGAGAAGTATCAAACCCAATCAACCTTCGCACGGGTTTGGCGGCTGTCTTGAAGCTCATAATGGACCTGATAATGGGCCCCCGGTTCCTTTCTCTCTAGCTGCGTTCACTGGCTCTAGCTGAGTTCCCAGCTTGTAGCTAGCTACCCTGCCTGATTTCGGCACCTGAGCTGCGCAGATGGATCTGAGCACCTTACTCCTGGCCTTTCTCTCGTCTCTCTTCTTATCACCGTGGCTCTCTATCGAATCGGGCCTTGGAGTAAGAGCACAGCAAACAAATGCTACATGTAACCCCGACTACGATTGGGTGAGTTCCAGCCCTGATTCTCCTCAACTTGTTGAGAACTTTGTACGCCCTCCCCACAGGCAAAAAACTCGAAAGGTTTTTCGCCATGTCTCGTTGCCGCTTTTGTAGGCAGCGCATGCGAAGACAGATGTGCGTCCCATCTACTAATCGCAGTAGGTGAACACTGAAGCTTGAGACGTTCGTTCCTCTCCAATAGCGGCCGGATTGCGCATTAATTCATTGCCTGAGGGGTCACCTTCGGCTATGTACGCCGGAGCGACGACGACTTGCCAATGCAGCACAGTGTACTACTCCCTCATCAGCGCGTGCGCCATTTGCCAAGGACACGCCCTTCACTAGTGAGCATCCACTTATCTACGCATCTGCAGCCAAAACTCGCGCTTTCATTGCTTACGTTGCGCTCCGTATTGCCTCACAGTTGGAGTGGGCACACCAAGAACTGCTCAACCGTCACCGTCAAGTAGGCAATCTTAAGCTACGTTCTTGCTGCCTGCTCACCCATTCGCGACTTCAGTTTGCCCGGTTCCCTATCAACGGTCAGCACGGACATTCCCTCTTGGGCCTTTCTAAACGTCACCGCTGCCGATACCTTCAACGAAACCTTGGCGCGCGAGGAAGGTACGTGCTCATGCGTTCGCACCTACATCAACCCACCCTCACGATTCCTCGCCAGCTGCCAAAACTCGCACGCCTTCTGACACTGACGGGCAAACCACCGTGCCTCCTTCATCCACCGCAGCACCGGCGTCGACCTCCACAGACAACAAAGGCGCCATCATCGGCGGCGTCGTCGGTGGTGTCCTCTTCCTTGCCCTCGCCGCCCTCGGTATCTGCTTCCTACTCCGTCGCAATCGTCGCGGCCGCGATCAAACTCACAAACCCCGCCCAACGCTTATCCGCGGAGAGGAAGAACACGCAAGCGATGACCGCGTGACAATGTACTCGAACACCGTGAGCATGATCAAGAGCGGAAGCACCAGTCCCAGTCCCCCGAGTCACTCGAGGATGAACAGCAATGAGACGGCGGCGGGGTTGACATTGAACAGTACGGTGGGCGGCACGCACGGGCATTCGCACCATCATCATGATAGGAGCACGAGCTCGGAGATGATAAGTAGGATGATTGGGTCGCCTGTTTCTGTGAGTGGCATCTGAGACTTTAACGGTATGGTTAGCTAGTGCTGACGAGGACTGCCTTTCCTCCTCTGAAGACGCCTCCTGCACGCAGGACGGCGGAGAACCCCACTGGTTTTACGGGTGTTGCAGAGATCTGAGAGGGTTTTAAATGGATGGCGGTTACTAGAGGCACTAGTAAATGGCGAGGGTCGCATTCGAAAGGTCATAAACACTAAGATTTGCAGGGAATACACGACGCCTGGATATTATGTGATGTACAGTGCTTTGCTTGATCTACATGGTTTATATATGTCGAGTTATGGGAATTTAGAACGCGGTTTATGAAGCCAGGGCTGCTGGCTCTTGAGTAGAACAGATGTAAGCCTAGCAAGGCAACGAGTACACAAGGGCTGTGGCAAAGGTCGTAGAGTACAAGGAAAACTATGCCCCAGTCTGGTAAACTATGCTTCTCCGGAGGGGTTAGTAAGATTCGGATATAGATTCAGAGTCGACCTCGCCGCGACGAGACTGCGCACAATTGCATACATTTGCTGCAAGCCTTGGTCGATGGGTGTACTACAAGAGCATCAACGTATCCGCCACATCGCCAGCCCTGCTCTATGCTCATCCACTTCCTCTCGCGCCTTCTCGCTCTCTCTCGTGCGAATAGCAGCCCCTACAAGCACGCGCACCGCATCCTTCACCGCATCCTCCTTCTGCTCGTCATTCAACCCAGCGTTCTGCAGCGCTCTAACCCTCTCCCAATCAACACACGTCCCGATGAACTCTGCAATAGCGCCGACGACGCCCTCGAACCTCTCCTCTTCGTCCTCATTCATCGCGTGACCTTTCTCCTGCGGCAGCCTAACACCCCACAACTGCGCCAACGTCTGAGTATGCCACGCGAGCAGCGGTGCGCCGGATCTGACGGGGAACACGACAGCGGGACACCCATCGAAGAGGACGTAGCGCATGACGGATTCGTCGGGGCGCTGGCTTGTAGGCCATGAGTCTCCACGGTGGGGCTTGATTCCGACGAGAAGGAGGACCATGCGTCGGGGGTCTGGAATCGCTTGAACATGAGTGGGTGGGGTGGGAGCGGGTGTGGGGGCGGGGGCGGAGAACCAGCGGCTGAAGAGGCCAGATTCTTCTTCTACTGCGTGCGGTGGTGCGGGTGGGTATGGAGGGTGTACGTCGTCGAGGTGGATCTTGGATGATGGAGAGCGTACGTCGCCCAGCTGAATTTCAGGCGACGGGGAGCGCGCATCCCCCAGGTCGATTTCAGCCTCCGGAGAGCGTGCATCCGAGAGGTTGATCACAGGGACATCACCCAGCTGGATCTCCAGCGCCGATTCATCGAGCAGCGTCTCGCCGAGCTTGTAGTCTCCTAACGTTGGGCGTCAGGTGGTGACTCGACCACGAGGGGCAGAGAGTATGTACTGACCCTGAGTGAAGGGGGCGTGGCAGAATATGACATCTGGCTGGATGTCCCTGGGTATAGAGGGGCGGCGGGCACTGGCAAAGAGGTACGGGGAGAACCACCCTTTCTTCATTGCGACATCATCCTGTGAAGGTATGTATCAGTGCCCAAGGCGGATAAGGGCTTCAAGTCAACAATAACGCGTACCTTCAAACGGTGGGCTGCCCACAGCGCACTATCCTCCTTATGCTGGAGGGTACTCCGGAAGTATCCCAGCTCGGCATCGGTCATGGTATGCTTGTACTGAATCGTAGCCACCAAGACTTTCACTGCCGTCGTCTGCAGTCTGCTCGAGTAAATCGGGATCATCTTGTCGAAGGGGCCCTTGAAGATAAGGTCGTTTGCTGCTGCGGCTGGCGACGAGTGAGTCAGAACACATGTACAACAGGTGATGGGGAACGATGGCAAATGGGAAGGGGAAGGGGAATGGAACTTGTGTATCACGTACTTCCAACTGCAAATCCAGCGGCGAGGCCGATCTCAACGATGAGAGTGCCTCCGATGATTCCGCCTCCTAAAGCAGCACCGCCGACTGCAGCGACCGCGCCCAATGGTGCTAAGAGCGGGGCAGCTATTGCACCTAGTGGTAGCAGCACGGGTGCGGCGAGTACTGCCACTCCACCCTGCAACCAACCGGTGAGATTTGGAGACGTGGGTGGGTGGGAGAACGTACAGTGACGGCTACGAGGCCCGCGGCTGCGATATCGCGGCCTCGGATGTTTGGGAGGATGATGCTGTCATCACCCCACTGCGTAGATAAACATAAGAGGCGGACTCATAACAGAAAAATATTACGGTGACACATACAGGTGATAGACATTCGACATCGGAGCCTCTGCGGATTCCCTCGTATCCTGACATGACGACGCGACCTGGGATCGACTATGTGGAAAGATGGGCCGCGCTCAGTAGCCGTAAGGCTCAAACAGGGGCTTCAAGTTTCATTACTTACACCAGCTAGTTTTCGAACTGTGGAAATAGAAACAAGACTGTCGTTAGCTTGGTCTCCTCACATCGTTTAGTTGAATGATGTCACGCCAGGGAAACTGGCGATGGTTGTGAGAACGGAAGAAGGCATCTTACAAAACCACGACGATTCGGCCTCTTTCTCGTCCCCGCCCCGACCATGATCCCTGATCACATCTGACCGCGAGCTGGATGCTCTAGGCATAAGTTGTGGTCGCTGGGAATTATTCGCTACGCCTGAGCTGCCTGGATCGTTGCGAGCTGTGGGCGTGCCCGGCGTCGCTCTACGTCGGCCTTTGTATGGTGCGTATGGTGCGTATGGCGTGTATGGAGGAGGCGAGGCCATCTGAGGTGTGTTGCTCTAGGACTGTTTGATTGGTATCGGTTCTGTGTGATCATGAGCAATAAGCGTTGCCAGTGAGCTTAACCTGGTGCTCGTGCCTCTCTCGATTAACGTACAGATTGGATGAGCTGGGGTGCGAGAAGTGGTTGGAGCAGATTCAAGAAGCGGGAAGTGGTTGGAGCAGGGTCAGGGTCAGAACCAAGCTGAAGGATGCCACGGTTCCACGAATCCTTAAACTGAGTGCAGAGGGGTCATGATCAGATGGCCGGCGAGTGCGGATACTTCTAGACTCTATGTAGATTCCACAGCATCGTTTGAAGCGCATTGATTAAGGGACGTGAGTGTAGAGCACAATCAGCTGTATCAAGGCAGTGAAGAAGGTATGAGTACTGACTCCTGGGCGAAGAGAGCTCGAAAGGCCGAG